CCTTGCACTCAACACTTCCCCCATACTACCTGCCAAATCAGAGAGATGCAAATCCCCTGAGGAGTATAAAGCAGGCTGCGCACAGAAGATGAAGAGCCACTTTCTGAGGATGCCCAGTATATGAGCTCACACCTCTGAGCTGTCCCCTGGAAGGAGTTCCTCATTTCAGCACTAGGTATCCCATGGTGGTCACTGGGGGCTGGTTTCCCTCCTCCCACCCCTAGGCAGGAAAACAGAAAAACTGGCCAAGTGTGGGGTTTCATGAACAACCACATAAAGAGGGGAGAGACAGTCTCCCAGGAGAGACATTCCTGTGTCTCTAATAGAAAAGTAGTAAAAGTCCCACATCAGAATAGATTTTGTCTCTTTTTGGGCTTCAGGCAAATGAATGAAATAGTCCCAGCTATGGGGATATTCAGGATTCCCCTTCGTGGACCTAGGACTGCCCTAGGTCCTACTCTCTTCCACCCCAATCTCTACCTACTGCAGAAGTACCTGATTCTGTAGCTCTGCTGATCTCTACTTTAAAGCTAGGGCTCCCTGCCTCAGATTAGACAACCCTTTTGGTCCTAAGGGAAAGGGTCCAGCAAGGTCTTCAGCATCCCCTCTCAGGATCCCATCACACCTGGTACTCTCTGGGTGCCCTTGAGCAGACAGGAGGCCAGATGGATGGGAGGGTCGGGAAGAGCCACGGGCAAGGACAGCCTCCAGCCCTTGGGACACTGAGGATTGGCAGGAATTCTTCAACGATGAGGGTAAGTAAATCCCACTTCCAATGGAGAGGGGTCCATTTTGCAACCTTCACCAGTAAAGCTGCCCATTGTGAGCTTTTTCCTAAAGAACATGGGGAAACGTGAAAAGAGTTTCAGTGGGTAAGTGAAGTCAAACCTTTAACCCCACAGGAGGGCACTCTCTGAAGAAGAGATCTTTCTGTAACCTTTCAAAATGCAAGGTGGGGAGCAGCATCTATAGTCAGCTACCATTCTTACAAAAACAAAAAAGTGGAAGGTAGGACATGTACATTAGGGGGATATGTACATATCTGGGAGATGATCCTGGATTATCTGGGTGGGCCCAACACAACCCCTCAAATCCTCTAAAAGGAGGCAGAAAATGAAGGCAGTAGAATTCCGAGAGGCTTGAAGCCTAAGAAGGACCCCACATGTCACCGCTGGCTTTGCAGACGGAGGAGCCACGTGACCAGGAATGTGAGTGACCTTTGGGAGCTGAGAGTGCATCCTTGACTGAAAACCATCAAGGAAACGTGGGCCTCAGTCCTACAACCACACAGAACTGAATAAGGCCAACACCAAATGAGCTTGGAGGCAATTCTTCCCCCAAGTCCCCAGATGAGAGCCCAGCCTGGCCTACACCTTGATTTTGGCCCTTGTGAGATAAGACTGGAGCAGAGGACCCAGCTGAGCCCACCCAGACTTCTGACCTGCAGAAGCTGTGAGATCATGAATGGGTGTTGTTTTAAGCTGCTCAGCTGTGGTACTCTGTCACACAGCAAAAGAAAATGAACACAGGGTATTTCCATTAAGGGGAAGAGTAAGACCGTGTATGGGTGGTGGGGGGAGCTGCAGTCATGAAGGCATACACCAGCAGGGGCTCCAGTCAAACGGGCGCAGCTGAAGGAAACAACAGTGCAGGCTCCAGGAGAGAGGGCCACCAAATTTAGCTGGAGAGTCAAAGAGGCAGCATAGAGGGTGAGGCCCACACCCGTCCAGCCAGCCACCCGCCCCCATTCCCTGTTTCCTGAGCTGTTGCCTGGCAGGAGTACAGGCTTAGTGTGACCAAAGCGTCCAATTTTGCAAGAGACTCCAAAAATCCAATTTTTACATAAAATAACTTCATTCAAACTCTATAAACACTGTACTGGCCTAACTTGTACAGACCAAGCAACATGCACATGTGTACTTTGAGCCAGATGTGACCTTCTAGGGCATCAACTGAGTGTAAATGAAAAGGCAGAAAGGTGGTCCCCGGAGCACAGCACAAAATCCCCACATGTGGACTTTCTTGGAAGGCAGTAGAGAGCCAGGGAAAGTTGCCCCCTTCCCTCTCATCCAGAAGAGAAAAGGAACTCATTCATATGCGTGGAAAACTCACATGGGCCAGTGACTACACTACACTGGGCATGACCTATTAGGAGCTCTCCAACAACCTGATGTCATAAGGGCCACTGGCCTCATTTCTGGGTAAGGCAGCTGAGGTGCAGAGTGGTTCAGTAATTCTCTGTGCTTATAACCTGGGGCTCAAAACCACATTTCTGATTCCAAAATCTGAGTCCTCCCAGCTATTCCACATAGCATCCCAGCACTGAGTGATTTTGTTCCTATTGAAAGGGGGGGTTGGTGTTGTTTCCCAAGGTCGAGAGTCTTCTCTCAAATGTGAACCAGATCCCTCTCCTTATTCAAGGCTCTTCCAACTTCTACCAAGTTGGCTGCCCACCCTCCACAGCACCTCCCTCACCCATCCCACACACCCCACATCCCAGCCTTTCAGGCAGATTCCATTCCCACTGCTCACTTGTAGCTCAGTCCCTCTGCTTCCCAGTTCCAAATTCCTGAGAAAGTGTTCTCATTGGCATGGGTCATGTTTTGTTTCAAATCAAAGCTGGTCATAAGTCACTGGCCGTCTATGGGATGGGCCTCCCTTTGGTCAGATGGCAGCCTAGACGTGACCCTCTGCAACCCTTTCCTGCCTCATACCCTTCTCCATCTCCAGCCATATCTGAGCAACTCCCATCTCCAGGCCAATCCCCAGAAGCTAGGGCCAACTCAGGGAACAAGCTTGGGCAAGCCATTTCCCTAAACACAGCATCCCAAACACCTGCCCAGCTATGCCTGACATTTATAAATATGGCTCTAATGGAGGTGCCTAAACCAGGCAACGGAAGTGCTCACAACAGTACTCAGAATCAGTCTGAAGCCTCTGAGATGCCCACCGCTTGGCTGGGCAGGGCCATTGGCAGGAGCACCACACACACCACCTACCTAAGAACCAGGAGAGGAAAGAAACCAAGGAGCGCTCCGCGTCCCTACTCACAACCCTCAGTAAGGGACCCTCGGTCTCTTCCCTCAGAGGTGAACATGAACTAAACAAAAGGCCTCTTTGTTTCTCACTGAGATTTTATTAGCAACAAGCCCTCATTCTGCCTTTTTCTGACAGGGGGACCTTAGGAAGGCCTCCGCAGAGCCATCTAAATCAGTAACGGCTGGGACAGGTAGGCACGTGATGAGGTCAGAGGACTGGTGCCGAGAGACAAGTAGAGCTTTAAATCCTCTTTATAAAGCCTCTACTTTGGTTGAGGGCAGCAGGATTTCCAGTGTTACTGAGTTTGTACTGACACAGAAAAAGCTTCCCATGGGTATATAAAGTATACAATGCGATGTCTTCCCCATATATTCACCTGTGAAGCCATTGGCACAATCAAGATAATAAATCTACCCATCACCCCCAAGCTTCCTCATAGCCATTAATAATCCGCCTCCCAACCCTCTTCCCTCCCCATCCCTGTCTCTTGGCAACCACTGATCCTCCTTCTGTCCCCCCAGTGCGCATTTCCTAGTATGTTACATAAATAGAATCACATACTCTGTACTTGGTTTTCTCTGGTTTCTGCCACTCAGCATAATCTGACATTGGTCCATGCCATTGTATGTACATCAATAATTCATCCCTTTTTTTTTTTCTTTGCCAAGTAGTGTTCCACGGTATGACAGAGCATCGTCTGTAGGTGAATGGTTCACCCATTCACCTATTGATGGGCATTTGGCTTATTTACGGTCTGGAACTATCACAAATATAACTGCTGTGAACACTCACGTACACATTTTTGTACTTGTGCATATGCTTTCTTTCCTCCTAGGGAAACACCCAGAATGGAACAGCTGGACAATTTGGTAGGCATGCATTTAGGGCATGGCTGTTTTCAGGAACCTTCCATGTGGGCTTCAGAGTATAAAGGTATACAAGGTAAAGGTCTACACAGATCACAGGGGAACCAGCGTCACAGACACTCACCCATAGAGGTCACATCAGGCTACAGCTGGCTCTATTCCTAGTCCTCCAATGTATGAACAGGGCTCCCAGAAGGGAAAGTCTCCCAGCCTAACCTTTGGTTTTGTAAAATGCTCGGTAAACAAGCTCCTGACACTTCAGAAATGGCACACAGGATGGGGGAGATTCCAGGAGATCCTTTAAGTCATGGAAACATCTCATTTAAATAATGGCAACATCTCAGTGGTCTAGAACAGAATAGTTTTTACCAATTCTGAAAGCTGGAGCATGAACTAGGGCAGGGGTTCTCCAGGGGTGGTCCCATCAACATCACCTGGGAACTTGTTAGAAATGCACATTCTCCCCCGCCCAGACCTACAGCACTGAGACCCTGATGTGGAGCCCAGCAATCTGGGCTTTTACCAGTCTTGCACGTGGTGTGATGCATGCTCTAGTTTAAGATTCAGTAGCCTAGAACCTCTTCCAAACCCCTGGATTCTCTTGGAATTATATCTATCCAAAGTCATGATACACATGAGCACATGAGCACAACCCCTCTAAGTTCTGCAAATTAAAATCTCAAAGAACCAAGTTACCAACTGGAATGCAAACCGACACAATGATGGTGGGCACTTCTTTCCCCAAAGCGCAAACAAACAAAATTCTCAGGAACTCAATCATGAAAGCATTTAAATCCAAGTGTCAAAACCACCCATTTCTCTATGTGTGGCTTTCAACCTAACATAGTGTAGCATACATGAACCTAAAGGAAGAAAAAGACAAAGATTTTAGGTGAGACACTCCAACATTCTTTACTGCTCTAAAACCCTCACTGAAAATTAATGCATCAGCAGGAAAATTAATCAAACTTGAACAGGAAGAATTTGAGTAAAAATATTGGATATTTTTTGTTTTAATCTTCAGTTTAAGCATGATTTCCGCTCAACATTATAACCGGAGAGAAGTTCTGATCATTTCTTTGGTATTTTACATGCTTAAAATTTAGCCCAGTCTTTGAAAACTCTCTCGAGCTTCTGGCCAAGCAGAACTTTGCCACTCACTTTGAACTTGCCAGCAAGGAAAGCTTTCTGAGGGTTCATTTTGCCCAAAACCAACTCCATAAAGACAGGTTCCGGGATTGTGAAGACAGTGTCAGCTGGGAGCCTGGCGGATCCTGGATACATGTCCCCAGAACCATTCTTCAGATCAATGGTCCACTGCAGAATGGTCTTCCCATCTTTGGTGATGTCCAGCTGAAAGATGGCATTGACTTTCTTTACCAGTTGGGCCCCCACCTCTTTGATGTGATGGCTAATGTCCTCAAACACAGGGAAGCTCTGGAATTCTGACAGCTCCAGAGGGTGTGGCATGGCAGGTTCCCGCGCTGCACCCAGTTCTTTGAATTGGCCGGCCTGAGGCCCAGCCACTGCTTTGATCTTGGGCTGATGGTCAATTCTCTTCCACATCTTACTGTGCTGGTCCTCTTGACCTTGCCGTCTGGTTTGTGAGCAGCTGTGGCCAGATTAATGTCCACAAGTCAGATTGTGACATCAAAGGTAAGGCCCAAGCAGGGAATGAGGCTAGTGTGTGTGCTGCAGTCTTATTGGCCAAACAGATACTAAAATGTAACATGGGGTGAGACCTCAGATAGGTAATTGTGAGGCATATCCATACTACCCCCTCAAACCAATCAGGGCTGTTGGTCTCACAGGCCCAGAAGAGTCTGGACCCCACGTTGGGAATAAGAGAAAGTGGCCCCAGAGGGGTTTTTTTGGTGATAATGAGTTCTGTCTTTCCAATGCAGTCCTCTCCCCATAACAATCCTAATTCAGAGCAGTTATTCTGATTCCTTTGAAGGTGTTTAAATCCTTAAGGCACAGATCATAATGCTAGATTTGGCATTATACAGCCACTGGTGGAAGGGGAAATGTTTTTAGAGAAAAATGGCTGGTTAGAGAAAGAATCAGTACCAGGACTGGCATCAGAAAGCTTCAGAGGCACAGGGAGAAATCAGGAGATGGAGGGAGAAATATCCCTAAGACCAACAGAGAATGCTGCTGGCCTCAAATGATCATTGCATATAATAACATAGCCCTCCCTCTGAGCCACTATTGTAGGCATTACACATGTATTATCATTTTTAAGCTTCATTACAATCCTCTGAGGAAGGTACTCTTTTTATTCCCATTTTACAGATGGGGAAACTGAGACAAGGAGAAATGAAGTGATTTACCCAAAGTCATACAGCTAATAAGTAGGGTAGCCAGGTTTAAACAGAGGTAGAATGACTCTAGAATACATATATATTTTCCTTTAATTTTTAAATAATGTCAGATTTACAAAAAGGTTATAAAAACACCCAAGTTCCTGTATCACCTGCACCCCACTTCCCCAAAGGTTAATATTTTACATGGCACAGCACAATGATCTATACCAGGAAAGAAATATGGGTACAATACTATTAACTAATCTACAGACCATACTCAAATTTTGCCAATTGTCCCACAAATGTCCCTTTTCTAGTCCTGAATCCACCTTCTGGTCCAGAATCCTGCACTGAATTTAGTTTTTATGTCTCCCTAGTGCTCTCCAGTCTGGGAGTTCTTCAGTCTTTGTCTTTCATGACCTTGATACTTTTGAATACTGGCTAAGTTCCTCTGTAAAATGTCCCTCATTGGGGGCAGTCTTTTTTTTTTTTTTTTTCATGATTAGGTTGAGGTTGTGCATTTTGGGCCAAAATACTACAAAGATGACCTTATGCCCTTCTCAGTGCATCATATCAGGGGCTACATGGTATCAGTGTGTCCCATGACTGGTGATGTTGACCTTGGTCACTTGGTCAAAGTTGTGTCTACCAGTCTTATCCACTGCAATTACTATTTTTCTTTCTGTAATTAGTAACATATAAGGAGATATGAGACTTTGCCAATATTCTGTTTCACATCATACTTCAGCCCTCTCTTTGCATCCATCAGAGGTCCATCAGTGTGAAATGTACCAAATGGCCATTTTCCACCCCCATCACTCCCTTTAGATTTAACAACTGGAATTTTGCTTAAGAAGAGCTGCCCCTCATGTGCACCCAAATGTTTATAGCAGCATTGTACACAATAGCCAAACTATGGAAAGAGCTTAGATGTCCACCAACAGAAAAATGGATAAAGAAAATGTGGTATATGTATATAATGGAATAGTATGCAGGGCGCCTGGGTGGCTCTGTTGTTAAGCATCTGCCTTCAGCTCAGGTCATAATCCCAGGGCCCTAGGATCAAGCCCCACAACAGGCTCCCCGCTCAGCATGAAACCAGCTGCTCCCTCTCTCATTCCCCCTGCTTGTGTTCCCTCTCTTGAGGTGTCTCTCTCTGTCAAATACATAAATAAAATCTTTTTTTTTTTTTTTTAAGGAATGCTAGGTAGCCATCAAAAAAAACAAAATCTTGCCATTTGCAATGACGTGGATAGAACTAGAGGGTTTTATGCTAAGTGAAATAAGTTAGCCAGAGAAAGACAATTATCATATGATCTCACTGATATGAGGAATTTGAGAAACAAGACAAAAGATCATAGGGGAAGAGAGGGAAAAGTGAAATAAGACGAAACCAGAAAGGGAGACAAACCCTAAGAGACTCAATCTCAGGAAACAAACTGCAGGTTGCTGGAGGGGAGGGGGGTAGGGGATGGGGTATCTGGGTGATGGACATTGGGGAGGGTATGTGCTATAGCGGAGTGATGGGTGTAAGACTGATGAATCACAGACCTGTCCCCCTGAAACAAATATTACATTATATGTTAATTTAAAAAAAAAAAAAGAAGAGCTGCCCCTTCTCCCCCATTTCTTTATTTGTTCAAATATGTCTTTATCTCAGTAGGGACTTGTGAATATTTATTTTATTCTGTGGGTCATAATCTATTCTTGTCATTAGGTATTTTCTTGCTCAAACTGTCCCAGGTTTGGCCATTGGGAGCTCCATCAAGTGAGTGACTATGCCCTTTCATAACCATGCTGCTCTTATATGCAAGTGAAGCTACATTAAATAGAGTTGTTTGTAGCTTTGTTCTCTCGGGAAGGAATGCAGAAAATTAAAAAAAAAAGATTTGGTATATTTTCTTTGGTACATGATAGATAAGCAACATTTTAACTGCTCAACATGGAGCAGTTAAACAAAACCCAGCAGCTCCCAAAACCAAGACTTTAACCTGAGGCCACCTGGTATGGACATCTGCACAGAGAATTTTAAACAAAGAGGTGAGTGAATACTCGAATTTTAAACAAAGAGGTGAGTGAATACTCAGTAAGATTGCTGTGAGCCACCAACAGTGAACTGAGCCCCCATCACCACCCATCACCCATATATGCTTTTCCTCAGAGCAGGGTTGTTCCTTCTGAATTATTCAGATAGATCTCCAACTAGGCTGCCACTCCTGCCTCAGCATGTCAGAGGAGAACACAATTCCAAGCCCATATTTGTCCCCTTCATGAGTTCCTATCTTTTATAAGCATTTCTACCATTAAAGGAATTCCAGTATGAATGGCCAGTATACTTGGAAAGGTGCTCAATATCATGAGTCCCTAAGGACAAGCAAATTAAAACTACAGTGAGATACATCTTCCTACCCACGAAAATCATGAATATTGGAAAGACTGACGATGGCAAGTGTTGGCAAAGCTGTGGAGCAACTGGAGCTCCCATGCAGGGTTGGTGGGAGTGCAAAATGCTGCTGCTGTGGAAGACTGCTGGCTAGGGTGGTAAAAGTCAAACACACACTCAGCACACAACCCGTAGGTACTTCTCTTGAGTATTTATGCAAGAGAAATGAAAGGAAAAGAAAGGTAGGACTTTATAAGTGTTCCCAGAAGCATCGTCCATTAAAGCAAAACACTAGGAGACAATCCAAATCTTTGCTTATGTCCTTCATCTTTTGTTCATCAACAGAAGATCAGATAAGCAAAATGGCATAATTATAGAATGGAATACTACTTGGCAACAAAAAGAAACAACCTCTTGATTCACTCCACAACGCAGATAAACCTCAGATGCATTATGCCGAAAGAAAGAAACCAGATTCAAATGATGACATACGATTCAATTCATACAGCATTCTAAAAATGGCAGAACTGCAAAAAGAAAAAAAAATGACCAGTGGATTAGGGGAAGAAATTGAGTTTGTCTAGAAAGGAACACAAAGAATTTCTTTTTGGTAGGAGTGGGGGACAGTGATGGAACTTTTCCTGATTGTGCTGGTGCTTACACAATTGTATGTATTTGTCAGAATCCAGAACTGTATACTAAAAGGGATGCATTTAAGTATGTAAATTATACCTCAACAAACCTTACTTTAAAAACAAAAAGAGGCATGGACAGATCTGCACTGTCACTGGTATGAGTTCTGTCTAAAGCAGAGGGCACAAGCCAAACGTGGAATACTGGTTCCTTTTTTTTTTTTTTTTTTTTTAATTATTTCCTATGTCTGTCAGTCGCTACTATTGCACTGTGATGCATAATTTTAACTTTTTAATTCATTCTTATATCACTTAACTCTTGCTATATTATGTAGCAAAACAAACAACCTCAAAATTTTAGCAGCATGTAACTAACATTAAATAATTATTTCTCACGTGTCTTTTGGGTGGCTGGGGTCTGCTGCACTGCGCTGAGATGGACTAGGCTGCTGTTCTAGATACATGTGTCTCTCACCTTCTGTCTGCAACCAGTAGGCCAGCCAGGCATGTCCCTCCTGTGGTAATGGCAGAAGTAAAAGGGCAGTGAGCAGAAAGGCCCAGGCTTGTCCCTGGCTCAGTGCCACTCCTGCCCATGGACCAGCAGCAAAAAGCAACTCTCAGAGCCAGGTGCAAAGTCAAGGGTTAAGGAGGCACACTCTACCATGAAGGGGACATGACTGGGCAAGAGGCAGGGAGAAGAGAAAAACTGGGACCAACAATGTAATTTGCCATAGCTACTGACACACAAAAAGAGAGATTTCACATTTTAAGATCCAGATTTGTGGCTTTTCTTTTTTTTTTTTTTAAAGATTTTATTTATTTATTTGACAGACAGAGATCACAAGTAGGCAGAGAGGCAGGCAAAGAGAGAGGAGAGAGGAGGAAGCAGGCTCCCCGCCGAGCAGAGAGCCCGATGCGGGACTCGATCCCAGAACCCTGGGATCATGACCTGAGCTGAAGGCAGAGGCTTTAATCCACTGAGCCACCCAGGCGCCCCAGATTTGTGGCTTTTCTTATTCATGGAAAGATCCATAACCTTGGACCCACATATTTATCTGGCAACAGAAGGAGAGGCAGTTCACTTCAGGCAGGAAGGGCTCCCCACAACTCACCATCATCATTGTCATAAGGATGACCCCTTTCTAGAGGTCAGGTGTTCTGAGGAAATGTTCCAGTATTCCCAAGATCTTTTCCACACTAAATTTCATCAAAAGTTCTGCAAGAATTTGGATAACTTGAGTATTCAAGGATCCTCAAGTTTGTTACCATCTCCATCCCCTCAACATATTTGCTGAGCATTGACTGTGGAAAGCCCTGGGCTGGCACTGTTAAGAACACACACAGATGGAAAGTGGGTGCTGGCAAGGATGTGGAGAGATCCGAACCCTCGTGCACTGCTGGTGGGAATGGAGAATGGCGCAGCACTGTGGGAAACAGAATGGCACTTCCTCTGAAAATTAACCCTAGAATTATTATATGACTCAGCAGTTCCATTGCTGGGTACATACCCAAAATAATGAAAGCAGGCACTTGTACAGATATTAGTACATTCATGTTCATAGCAACATTCTTCACAACAGCTGAGAAATGGAAACAACTCAAGTGTCCATTGACGAATGAATGGATAAACAAAATACAGTATAAAATGAGCAAAGGAAAAAACTGAGATAAATCAAGAAACAGACTCTTTTTTTTAATTTTTAATTTTTTATAAACATATAATATATTTTTATCCCCAGGGGTACAGGTCTGTGAATCACCAGGTTTACACACTTCATAGCAGTCCCATAGCACCTACCCTCCCCAATGTCCATAACCCCACCCCCCAAACCCCCTCCCCCCAGCAACTCTCAGTTTGTTTTGTGAGATTAAGAGTCACTTATGGTTTGTCTCCCTCCCAATCCCATCTTGTTTCATTTATTCTTCTCCTACCCCCTTAACCCCTCATGTTGCATCTCTACTTCCTCATATCAGGGAGATCATATGATAGTTGTCTTTCTCCAACTGACTTATTTTGCTAAGCATGATACCCTCCAGTTCCATCCACGTTGTCGCAAAAGGCAAGATTTCATTTCTTTTGATGGCTGCATAGTATTCCATTGTGTATATATACCACATCTTCTTTATCCATTCATCTGTTGATGGACATCTAGGTTCTTTCCATAGTTTGGCTATTGTGGACATTGCTGCTATAAACATTCGGGTGCACGTGCCCCTTCGGATCACTACGTTTGTATCTTTAGGGTAAATACCCAGTAGTGTGATTACTGAGTTCTGGGGTAGCTCTATTTTCAACTTTTTGAGGAATATCCATGCTGTTTTCCATAGTATTTGCACCAGCTTGCATTCCCACCAACAGTGTTGGAGGGTTCCCCTTTCTCCGCATCCTCGCCAGCATCTGTCGTTTCCTGGTTTGTTAATTTTTGCCATTCTGACTGGTGTGAGGTGATATCTCATTGTGGTTTTGATTTGTATTTCCCTGATGCCAAGTGATGTGGAGCACTTTTTCATGTGTCTGTTGGCCATCTGGGTGTCTTCTTTGCAGAAATGTCTGTTCATAGTGTGGAGATTCCTCAATAAACTAAATATAGAGCTTCCCTATGACCCTGCAATTGCACTACTGGGTATTTACCCCAAAGATACAGATGTAGTGAAAAGAAGGGCCATCTGTACCCCAGTGTTTATAGCAGCAATGGCCACGGTCGCCAAACTGTGGAATGAACCAAGATGTCCTTCAACGGACGAATGGACAAGGAAGATGTGGTCCATATACACTATGGAGTATTATGCCTCCATCAGAAAGGATGAATACCCAACTTTTGTAGCAACATGGACAGGACTGGAAGAGATTATGCTGAGTGAAATAAGTCAAGCAGAGAGAGCCAATTATCATATGGTTTTACTTATTTGTGGAGCATAACAAATAGCATGGAGGACATGGGGAGTTAGGAGAAGGGAGTTGGGGGAAATTGGAAGGGGAGGTGAACCATGAGAGACTATGGACTCTGAAAAACAATCTGAGGGGTTTGAAGTGGCGGGCATGGATTGAGAGGGCACGGATTGCATGGAGCACTGGGTGTGGTACAAAAACAATGAATACTGTTATGCTGAAAATTAAAAAAATAAATTAAAAAAAAAAGAAGGATGCTGTTTAGTCTCCATATATTTGGGTCCTTTCCAAATTTCCTCTTGTGATTGAGTTCTAGCTTCAGAGCACTGTGGTCTGAAAATATGCAGGGTATGATCCCAATCTTTTGATACCTGTTGAGACCTGATTTAGGACCCAGGATGTGATCTATTCTGGAGAATGTTCCATGTGCACTAGAGAAGAATATGTATTCTGTTGCACTGGGATGGATTGTTCTGAATATATCTGTGATGTCCATCTGGTCCAGTGTGTCATTTAAGGCCTTTATTTCCTTGTTGATCTTTTGCTTGGATGATCTGTCCATTTCAGTGAGGGGAGTGATAAAGTCTCCTACTATTATTGTATTAGCGTTGTTGTGTTTCTTTGATTTTGTTATTAATTGGTTTATATAGTTGGCTGCTCCCACGTTAGGGGCATAGATATTTAAAATTACTAGAACTTCTTGTTGGACAGATCCTTTGAGTATGATATAGTGTACTTCCTCATTTCTTATTATAGTCTTTGGCTTAAAATCTAATTGATCTGATATAAGGATTGCCATCCCTGCTTTCTTCTGATGTTCATTAGCATGGTAAATTTTTTCCACCCCCTCACTTTAAATCTGGAGGTGTCTTCAGGTCTAAAATGAGTTTCTTGTAGGCAACATATAGATGGGTTTTGTTTTTTTATCCAATCTGATGCCCTGTGTCTTTTGATTGGGGCATTTAGCCCATTAACACTCAGGGTAACTATTGAGAGATATGAATTTAGTGCCATTGTATTGCCTGTAAGGTGACTGTTCCTGTATATTGTCTCTGTTCCTTTCTGATCTAGTACTTTTAGGCTCTCTCTTTGCTTAGAGGACCCCTTTCAATATTTCCTGTAGAGCTGGTTTGGTGTTTGCAAATTCTTTCAGTTTTTGTTTGTCCTGAAAACTTTTTATCTCTCCTTCTATTTTCAATGATAGCCGAGCTGGATATAGTATTCTTGGCTGCATGTTTTTCTCATTTAGTGCTCTGAATATATCATGCTAGCTCTTTCTGGCCTGCCAGGTCTCTGTGGATAAGTCTGCTGCCAATCTAATATTTTTACCATTGTATGTTACAGACTTCTTTTCCCGGGCTGCTTTCAGGATTTTCTCTTTGTCACTAAGACTTGTAAATTTTACTACTAGGTGATGGGATGTGGACCTATTCTTGTTGATTTTGAGGGGGTTTCTCTGCACCTCCTGGATTTTGATGCTTGCTCCCTTTGCCATATTAGGGAAATTCTCTCCAATAATTCTCTCCAATATACCTTCTGCTCCCCTCTCTCTTTTTTTCTTCTTCTGGAATCCCAATTATTCTAATGTTGTTTCATCTTATGGTGTCACTTATCTCTCGAATTCTCCCCTCATGGTCCAGTAGCTGTTTGTCCCTCTTTTGCTCAACTTCTTTATTCTCTGTCATTTGGTCTTCTATATCACTAATTCTTTCTTCTGCCTCATTTATCCTAGCAGTGAGAGCCTCCATTTTTGATTGCACCTCATTAATAGCTTTTTTGATTTCAACTTGGTTAGATTTTAGTTCTTTTATTTCTCCAGAGAGGGCTTTTATATCTCCCGAGAGGGTTTCTCTAATATCTTCCATGCCTTTTTTGAGCCCGGCTAGAACCTTGAGAATCATCATTCTGAACTCTAGATCTGCCATATTAC